GAAAGGAAAGGAAAGGAAAGGAAAGGAAAGGAAAGGAAAGGAAAGGAAAGGAAAGGAAAAGAAAAGAAAAAGAAGCTGAAGCTAGGGCTGGAGAGACGGCTCAGAGGTTAAGAGCACTGACTGCTCTTCCAGAGGTCCTAAGTTCAATTCCCAGCAACCACATGGTGGCTCACAGCCATCTGTAATGAGATCTGGTGCCCTCTTCTGGCCAGCAAGCACACAGACAGACAGAACACTGCATACATAATAAATAAATAAATTTAGAAAAAAAAGAAATAGAAGCTAGAAGGGGTGGCAGACACCTTTAATCTCAGTGCTTTGGAGGCAAGCTGAGTTCAAGGCCAGGCTGGTCAACAGAATGTTCCCTGACAGCCAGGGAGGGCTACACAGAGAAACCCTGTCTGGGGTGGGGGGTTTGGGGAGGGGGATAAGGAAGAAGGAGGAGAAGAAAAGATATAGGTGTGGTAGTGTCTCTACCTGTAACACTTCAGAAGATCTTGGGGGAAGATCTCAAATTCAAGGTCAGCCTGGGACACACATTTTCTGTCTAAAAAAAAAAAAAAAAAAAAACTAATGGGGCTGGAGAGATGGCTCAGTGGTTAAGAGCGCTGACTGCTCTTCTGAAGGATCAGAGTTCAGTTCCAAGCACCCATATGATGCTAATAATAACAGTCTGTAACTCTAGTTCCAGGGGATCTGATGCCCTCTTCCAGCCCCCACCAACACTGTACACACAGGGCACAGACATGCATGCTGGCAAAGCACCCACACACATCAAATAAAAAGACAGTAAGTATTAAAAATAAAGAAGCAGAAGCTTTCTGTACTGATGTCACTCCCAAAAACATCGTGAAGTTTCTAAGACCTGCCTGACTTTCACAAGAAATATGGCAAGCATGAACCCAGCTGTGGTGGGATATCTTGATAACCTTCTGACACCCCCCAGACTGCTTAATAAAGTTATACCTTGAAATAGGGGGTGGAGCCAGTGACTAGCTGACCAGAATTAGCCATAGGGAAGCCAGACAGAGAGAGTGCAAGATGGAAGAGAGGTAGTGTCAAAACATTCATTAAAATAAATGAGTTAATTTAAGTTATAAGAGCTAGTGGGGGGCTGGAGAGGTGGCTCAGAGGTTAAGAGCACTGACCGCTTTTCCAGAGGTCCTGAGTTCAATTCCCAGCAACCACATGGTGGCTCACAGCCATCTGTAATGAGTTCGGGTGCCCTCTTCTGGCCAGCTAGCATACAGACAGACAAACACTGTATACATAATAAATAAATAAATCTTTAAAAAAAAGAAAAAAGAAAAATAAGAAAGAGCTAGTGAGACCAGCCTAAGCTAATGGCCAAGTTTTTATAATTAGTAAGACTCCATGTTATCATCTGGGAGCTGGCTGGCAGGACAGAGAAAGACTTATTACACCCCACAAAGTGACACAGTACAGAAAGGCAAGGACTCTCCATGTGCCCAGGGAAAGTGACTCCCTGACGGGCTACGGTGGGCAGACTAAGCCCACTTTCCTCAAAAATGTTAAAACTACCAAGAAGATTTCACTGCCAGTGCTTGGTGTTGAGTCTGTTACGGATCTAAGAGGATGCTGGCTCTTAACATAAAAGCATTTTGAGTTGGGAGGTAAAGGGGCCAAGTAATGGAGTTCTAAGCTGATTCCGTCATGAATTCCAGCACACTGTACTAAGACAAATGACCCAGAGGAAGGAAGCTGACAGTGGGGGGGGGGGGGGGCGCTGCAGGAACGAGCATTCTAAGCAGGTGAGAGGGGATGGGATCCAGGACACCAGCAGAGAGCTGACCTTAGCCGCACTGACAGCTCATTTCTGAGCACCGCAAGGAAGGCACAGTATACACTGTCCCAGTAGAAGAGCTGGGGATGGGGAAGGCACATAAAACCTTCTTGGTTGCTTATTTTCAAAGCGAGTCGATTTCTTGGTGACTGGGAGAATGCGGAAAGAGGTATTGGAACCTGAGGAAGGAAAAGTTCTGGCCTGACCATTCACAGGGAATGCAGAATTGCTCATCATGGCCAAGGGCACCTTTGGAGTTTGTAGTTACAACTTCGGTGAAACAAGTCAAACTGGCTGTGTGCTCCCCTAGGTAGAGTCAGCTCTCCAAGTGCAGACACGGGAGGATTTAGGCAGAAATGGAGGCATGTGGGGGTCCTGACAAAACAGAGAGACAGGATCAAGAGGCTCGCAAGCATGACTATAATGATGTTTCTTAGAACATGAGCCAATCAAGAAGAGCCACGAGGAGCTGAGTTGGTGGGAGAAAATAAAAATGGAGCAGTCAAGAGATTGCGGGTCCTTGATGAAGCCAAGACACTCACGAATGGATCCTACCTAACACTGCCCAGGCCAAAACAGGAGAGCTCCAAGGACTTCAAGGCTACGTTGAACTACACAATTTTTTTTAACCCTGTCCCAAAAACACAAAAAGGAGAGCTGGAGAGATGGCTCACCAGTTAAGAGCACTTGCTGCCCTTGTAAAGAACAGAGGTTTTTGTTCCCCGCACCCAAATGGCAGTTCACAACCCTCTGCAACTCCAGTTTCAGATGACCTGATGAGACCCTCTTCTGGTTTCTATAGGCTCCAAGCACACAAATGTTGCACACTGATACAACTGCAGGCAAAACACCCATACATATAAAATAAAAATGGAAAAAAATGTGAATCCATATTCATGTCGGGACTGGTGGCACACACCTGTAATCTCAGCACTTGTGAAGTAGAGGCAGGAGAATTAGGAGTTTGAGACCACCCTTAGCTACTACATGAGACCATCTTTAAAACAGAGTTCAAGAGCTCGGCATGGCAGTACAATCACAATCCCAGACCTTGAGAAACTGAGGCAGGCTAGGCCAGCCCAGACTACATAGCAAGTTCCAGGTCAGCCAATACTACATAGTGAGACCCTGTCTCAAAATAAATAAATAAAAATAAATAAATAAATAAAATAAAACTCCATATTCACATACTCTTTTTTGTTGTTGTATTTTAAGACAAGGGTTTCTCTGTGTAGCCCTGGCTGTCCTGGAACTTGCTCTGTAGACCAGGCTCACCTCAAAGTCAGAGATTCTGCCTGCCTCTGCCTCCCGAGTGCTGGGACCACAGCCATCTTCACATACTTTTCTGTGCCTGTGGATTTTCATAGAGGATTAAAATAAACTGTTAACAGACTAGAGTAGCAAACAAACTTAAAGTCGATAAATCAGAACCCCAACCACCTCTGCAGAATGCACCTAACTGAGGAAGCCCTCATAGGTAGCTGCAGTAATCAAAGATGTTCCTCATAGACCTGGCTACATCGAGAGTACAGCTCCCTAGGACTTTATGTGTTGTTTGTTGAGAACACCCTAACCTGGTTTCAGCCTCCTGAGTGCTGGGATTACAGACACACAGGCAGACAGCACCATGTCTGGGTGCAGTTTGATTTTTTTTAAGCCTTCTTCTAGTTCTTACTGTCTGTAAATCTCTGGGAATCCACCTCTGGGTTCAGCAGTATGTTGAGAAAATGAGACTCAAGAGACACAGGTAGACTCAAGCACTCAACGGCATTGTTCAACAGGAGGACAGACCCCAACAAGACCACATTCCCATTTGCACAACACAGCATCTTTGCTCATCTAGTTCACATAGTGCACACACAAGCACGCACACACACGTGTATGCACACACACGTGCACACGCGCACACACGGCAGGGAAGCCCAGCACCACCTACATCGCAGCACTCACAATCTCTTCAGTGTCATCACGTGGCTCGCACAGAGAGTCTCGGTCCCAGAGACCCCTACCAACCTTTAGCAAATGAGGCAACTGCTGGGTGACCAGTTCCTTAAACTCATTGAGGCTCAGGCTGCCTTTCCGTCCTTCCCGCCCTGCAAAGGTGAAGAAAGTGGTAACCACAGTCTCAATGGCTGCCTCCAGTTCACTCAGTGGCTCTGCTGCCATTAGTACTGCAAAGTAGGAGCTGATGTCCTCACAAACCAACCTGATGGGAAGAAAAAGACCAAGAGTTAGGGATCCAAGAACGGGTGGGGTGACTGCCTGGATGGGTCAGCGTGGGAAAGATGAAGGGCCCAGAACAGGCAGCAGAATTTAGTTTGCTTTCACTTCCAGAAGTTATTTTTCTGACTCTCACGTCTGTGCGTCCTTCTTAAGTGTCTACCTTAGGGACACCTCTGTAGTGGTCTCTCTGTGTGGCATCCACTCTATCTTTGAGGGTTTTTCTTTGGAGTCTTCTGAGTGTGGTATCACCAAATATGGGGTCTCTGCTCTAATAGTCCTTTCTTGTTGTCGTTCCCTGTCTCAGGGTCAGGAAGTTGTTTGTCTACAATGCTTATTTTTGTTGAGTCTCCACCCTCCCACAGACGAGATGCTGCCACTGGAGAAGCTTAGGGTTGGCAAAGGCCCAGCTGAGGTCAGGTCTGGTTCAATCGGGCCAGACCCATCTTCTCTGCTCGTCTAAGGGGGTCAGAGGGTGCTCAGCCCCAGACCCCACCGACCTTCCCCACTCCTGTCCATGGTTGACAAGGTCCAGAAAGAGACTCTCCAAACTCCTCAGACCCATAGCCCACAAAGAATTTGGCATGGACACCCAGTGCCCTCGGGGCTCCAGGAAAGGAAGAAATTCGTCTACTCATCCCCCTCATTTCTGTTCACCCACCCACATACTCCTGCAAGGACCTTTGCCTGCTTTCCGAAAGTCACTTCCTGAATCTCTGCCCGAATGAATCCACTTGGAAGGAGGAACCTGAAAACTGATCAAGAAAAGAAAGTCTCCTCCAGGCTCTCCGCAGAGTCAGGCAGAGTAACTCACCCGGGAAGGGAGGTGGGATGCGGCGAGCTGAGCTGGAGCCTCCAGGCTGAAGTTTTTAAGCACCAGGGAAGAAGAGAGCCACTCCCAAGTCCGAAGTGTCAAGTTTCCGCCTCCGCTGATTCGGAAAAGAGAGGACCGCCCCTGCTGTCACTAGCCATCCCAACACTGCGCCACGCGACCAGGACAGAGCCTGATCAAGAGGGATCAGAGGGTCCCACACACCCCATTACGGTGGCTAATCAGGAATCTTGTCAAAAGGGCTGCCACTGTTGTTGTTTAGAATAATCACAATAAAAACAGTTGGGGAATTCAGTACTGGAAAGCCCGGTCTCAGAAACCAGAGACCCTGCAAAAGATCCTCCAGTCCAAGGACACTCGGAAAGCCCCAGGCTGAGGCCCCCATAATGAAATCCCAACTGAAATTCTTCGCTGAGCTCCGAGTCAGAAGTCCCTCACAGAGACGCATAGGCTAAGCAACCCTGGGCAGAACTTTCCCCCTTTCCCTGCTCAGTCCGCACCACAGCACACTTCCCAGGGCTTCTTTTCCACCTCCTTCCTGCTGGGCTCAGGGAGGGGGTGCAACCAAGAAAAACATAGGGCAGCCAGTTGCCGCCCGGGAGACAGAGGGCGCCTCTGTCCACTCCTGGCCCCTGGCCCTTCACGGTGTCGTTTGTGAAGGGGTGGAGCCGGCGGGGAGGAGGGTCGGCAGGGAAAGACAGCAAAAGACAGGTCTCCCCTCACCGCTCCAGGTGCCACATTTGCAGCCTGCCTGTCTGTCGAGAACTTGCTGCCACCCCAGGCCCAGTCAACCGTGAGTACCCTACCCTGACTAGGATATGTCCCTGGCTTAGCCAGTCTGGAGAAAAGGGGGTCTCAGAAAGACCCCACGAGTCCTGGAAAAGGATACAGTGGTGCCAGGAGGGTCCGGGAGAGTCAAGGGAAAGGGCGCTTTGGGATCTAGGAGAGATAAGGTTTGGAAAGCAGGGAGAGGAGGTGAGTGAAGGTCGGAGGGCTAAGAGCTTGGTGAATGAGGACGCCACCCAGTTCCCAGGCCACCAGACCTTCCTATACAGGACCCTGTGCTTCTTGCCAGACCCCGCAGTCTCTAGGTGTGGAGAGGGGGAAGAGACAGCCCTGCTCCTTTAGGGTAAGAATAAGAAAGGCTGTTCCTGCCCCCTCACCAGCCTCAGTCTCTGGCATCCCTAACCAGCCTTGTCAAGAACAGGCTCCCAGGGAAGTCTAGCAGCAGAGCCTAGGCCATGTGACATCATGAGAAGGGGGTCTGTGGCACTGTACCCTGTCCCATCTCTGCCTTCACAAAACCCCCTCCTTATCCCTGTTTTTTCAGCCTTGACCCCCACTTCTCTCTCCCCAAAGTTTTTCCCCTCGGTCCTCCCTTCATAAAATTCCAATCTGCTGGAGGGCCCCAGGCAAACCTCCAGATGCCCCCCAGAGATGAGGATGGTAACTGAGCCACCCAAATTCCTCCCTTGAGCACCCCCTTATCCCTTTCATCAGCCAGGCTTGGGTTCTATCTCCCCCGTCTCTGTGACAACTGCTTCTTGTGACTGGATTCAGGTGACAGTCACAAGGGCTCCATTGAAGAGCTGGGATGTCATCTAATCAGGACCTATTGTCCAGTCTGCACAGTGGTGAGGAAGGATGGGGACACCTGATCTGAGACATCTGAGCTACCCTCGAGGCTGTGGGAAGCAGGACCCTCCCAGAGCCAAAGGACTGAGGCCCCCTAGTATAGCAGTCCATTCTCCTGCTCTCACCCAACCCCTTGAGCTCAAATGACCTCCTGCGCTCAGTCCTTTATCTCAACACAAACCAGCCCTATCCTGCTCCCCCTGTAGCTACCTGAGAGCTGGCCTGAGGCAGGCAAGGACAGCCAGCATCAGAGACAACGCCTTCAGGTTAGCTCCCTCCCTAGAAGCTGTCTGCATGGAAAAACCACGGACATTTCTCTCTCTCTTCCTTCTGCCTACCTGATGAAAAGGGGTGGCTTTGCAGAGGAGATAAGTAGAACAGGAGGTATGGGAAGCATGCCCCAGAGAAGACAAAATGACATACTGAGGAGAGAAGGAAGCCAGGCATGGTAGCTCACACCAGTAATCCCAGCACATGGAGACAGGACTGCCCACAAGTTGAGGGCCAGCCTGAGCTAGTTCAAGGATAGCCTAGGCTACAGAATGTAACCCTGTTATAAATAAATAAATCCCAAGTACAAAAAGATGGAGACATAGCCAAATGACCTGGGTTTAATCCTCGGTGCCTAAAGAGGAGGAGCCACACTGCTGACAGGAAGCTTGCAAACAGAGAAACTCCCCTCTCCAACAACTCTTGAACCTCCCACCTTGACTACCACACCCCCACACCCCTGAATCAGCTACCAAAGATAGCAGACTTCTTCCTGGGATAGGCAGCAACCTCAGCTCACTTACAATAACAGTAAAGTTTGCCTATGACAGGCCTGGAAGGTAAAAATAGAGCTAGAAGGCTGCCCTGTGTACACCCATGCCTGCCCCTCCCCACTCCACCCCGTCTCTGCCCAGGCAGCCAGGAGCCAGCTACTGCAGATGTCTGTTGCATGCTTAAGGCTGCCCAGTTTCTATTGCTCGGTCTCCATGCCCATCCCTGACTCCCTCTGGAGAGACCAGAATGCTAGACTGACTTACGTGTGCTAGGTCTCTCCCACATTGTCAAATCTCAATGAAAAATAAAGTACGGGGGGGGGGGCATCCTGTGACTATTTGAGCTGTGAAACCAGGGTCAAGCCTGAGGATCCCCCTTACCCAGACCCCAGATATCCCGAACCTGCTTTACAACTCACTTCCGTCATTGTAGTGTTGAGTAGGTGCACTGCTGAAATGGGCTCTGAGCTGGAGACTGCCATGGAGACCCTCATCAACGTGTTCCATGCCCATTCGGGCAAGGAGGGGGACAAATACAAGCTGAGCAAGAAGGAGTTGAAAGACCTGCTACAAACTGAACTCTCCGGCTTTCTGGATGTGAGCAGAGGGTTGAGGTACAGGGTGGAGGAAGGGATGGGTGCCCCTGCTATATCCCTGCCTCATGCCGAGCTCGGCCCAACCAGCTTCCTCTTCCATTGTTTACTAGGTTTTTCCAGGCTCCCTTCACTCCTCCCTGCTAAAGTCAAAATGCCCTAGTTTACTGACCGCCTGTCAATACTAGGCACTGCAGATTTATCCAGAACACTACCCACAGCGTAGAATGGAGTCATGGCCAGGCCGTGGTGGCACGCACCTTTAATCTCAGCACTCAAGAGGCAGAGGCAGGTGGATCTCTGTGAGTCTGAAGCCAGCCTGGTCTACAGAGTGAATTCTAGGACAGCCAAGGCTACACAGAGAAACCCTGTCTCAAACAAACAAACAAACAAACAGAGAAAGTAAAACCATGAATGGAAAGAAATACGGAACCTTAGAATTATGGAGATTAATTCTCTGAAGTCGCATGGCTTCTCTACTGAGATGGCACTTGAGGCACAGGTTTCCACGGGAAGACTGTAGAAGGTGTCCATGGGAAAAGAAGCATGGGAGGAAGGGTGGGAAGTAGGCTCAGTAACTTCCTTTGATTGGAGGATGCAGAGAAGTAGGAGACAGACTGCTAGGCTTCATGAAGCTGTGGCCCTGCTATTTTGTTGCTGTATAACTTTTGTCTATACCCCAACTGTCAATTTGTTTCCTCTATATAATAGAAGCAGTAGAAATGTCTCCACATTATTTGTATTAGTGTTAAAGACAGGCGTGGTGGCATGTATCTGCAATACTGGCACTAACAAGACAAACCCAGGTAAACCTCAGGTGCCAGGCCAGCTTGGGTCAAGTGGCAAAAACCAGGGTTTTTGGTTTTTTTGTTGTTGTTGTTGTTCTGGTTTTTTAATTATTTATTTATTTATTATGTATACAATATTCTGTCTGTGTGTATGCTGCAGGCCAGAAGAGGGCACCAGACCTCATTACAGATGGTTGTGAGCCATCATGTGGTTGCTGGGAATTGAACTCAGGACCTTTGGAAGAACAGGCAATGCTCTTAACCTCTGAGCCATCTCTCCAGCCCTTTTGTTCTGTTTTGAGACAGGGACTCACTGTGTAGCCCCAACTGGACCTGAACTTCAATAGATCACTTGTTTCTTTTCCCACTGAGAGCTGGGATTAAAGTCATCTGCCACTGAGCCCTAAATTATTTTATGTATCTTTTGTTAAAACAAAGTCTGTAAGGTTCCTAGGTTAGCACTTGTCACATTGTAGACCATCATGTATGGCAACTGTTGTTAGTATTACCTCTGCTAGGTTCTGCAGGCAAGAGGAGCGCACCAGTCTGTAGTGCTGCAGAAGACTCCCATACATAGTAGTCTCACTTGCTCATTTCTGCCTCTCAACCACTGTGCAGGCTCTAACTTAGTGGTATAAATTTCCATCTTCTCCTTCCACAGGTCCAGAAGGATGCAGATGCTGTGGACAAGGTAATGAAGGAACTGGATGAAAACGGAGACGGGGAGGTGGACTTCCAGGAGTATGTCGTGCTGGTAGCTGCTCTCACGGTGGCTTGTAACAACTTCTTCTGGGAGAACAGTTGAGCACATGGCCCCAGTGGGCAGTGCCCTTCCTCTCCACCATGTCAGGCTTCCCCCTTTAGCCCATTTCTCCTCACCCCACATGTCCCTCCCCATGTCCCTATCCTTACCCAGTCTCTCACCAAGGGCACAGGAGCAGTGGTCCAGGTCTGCCGCTCGCTCTAATAAATAGGTTTCCCTCACCAGCTGTCAATGTCTGTCTCCTCTGGTCTGGATATGTGTGAAACATGAGGGCTCACTCCCAGCTCCTTATCTTGGAGAGTTTATCTTATTTAAGGAACACTCAAGACCCAAAAATGAAGGGGTCCAAACTTTTAGCTGAAATTGAAGTGCCAATGGCTTCTCAAGAACTTATATAAGCGACTTGAAGGACGAAGCAGGAAGATTCTGAGTTCCAAGCCAGCCCATACCTACATAGCCAGAGCCCATCTCCAAAACCAAAAACACACAAACCATCAAAAACTGAAGAAAATTCAGGGCAGTGGTGGCACACTTTTAATCCTAGCACTCGGGAGGCAGAGGTAGGCATATCTCTGTAAATTCTAGGCCGACCTGGTCTATAGAATGAGCTTCAGGACAGTCAGGGCTACAAAGAAGGCTACACCTGGGGCAGTGGTGGAGGGAACCA